AGCGGGATGAACAGCTAGGAAAATAACTGGACGAGAAACAAAATAATTAGTAACAGCTTTTCCATACATGAAGCAGTTGTCCTGCAAGACTGTTAGTTTAATTTTACAAATTACATCAAATCTATGAGGGCCTGCATGGGGGGAGGTTAGTGATTACGAATTACGCAAAATTTTTACTGCTGATTACGAATTACGTTAAATTCTCTACTACTACTACTACTACTACTACTACTACTACTATAACTATTATTACAAATTGCGCAAATTTTTTACTGCTGATTACGAATTACGTTAAATTCTCTACTACTACTACTACTACTACTACTTCTACTACTACTACTACTACTACTACTACTACTAACTACTACCACTACTACATGTGCTACTACTACTACTACTACTACTACTACTATTACTACTACTACTTCTACTACTACTACTTCTACTGACCAATTAACACGTGATGCAGTGGTGTACATGTATTTCCACAAGCAGACAAGAAGCTTCAGGCTACTACAACTACTACTACTACTACTACTACTACTACTAGTACTACTTCTACTGACCAATTAACACGTGATTCAGTGGTGTACATGTATTTCCACAAGCAGACAAGAAGCTTCAGGCTACTACTACTACTACTACTACTACTACTACTACTACTACTACTACTTCTACTACTTCTACTGACATATTTCCACAAGCAGACAAGGAGCTTCAAGGTAAATTATCAAATTCAATTTGGGGCTGCACACATAACAGTTCTCATGCCTAACTGTGTGTAACACCAAACAACTGGTAATAATATACCGTCAAGCAAAGAATTCAATTTATGTACTTTTGTGGCATGACATCTTCAACAATGTCTTTAGAAAATTAGATCAACTACCAGTCCCAGGCAAAGCTAACGAGGGAAATCTAATGCTGGTGGTAATAAAAGGCCGTGTCTAAATGGAATCACCCAAGGCGGTTTACATGTGGTTTACCCCGAAGCCGGTTTCAAGTGGCTCCATGTGAACGCTCCGAAATCACATTGAAAGCGCCTCGATCCCAAGCCACTTCTAGAGGTGGTTTCGAATCGGTTTCCCCGCATCGCGATTTGCGTCTGAACGCAATGTGATTTCAATGTGACTTCGCCTGGTCATGGATTATGGAGTGATATTTCTTTTTTTATATGCAATACCAACTTTTACGTGGCAGCAACTTAAAGAGCAGTAATGGTCAAATAATGTGTCCGTTCTAGGGCGAGCTTCACCGCCTCTGGCGGGACCACGTCGGCATTCGGCCGAGATACGCTGGGAGGGGGGCATCAGCAAGCAGGTCGTTGACCTCTGACATTAATAACACGCCGCCTTGCGTGTTATCATCAAACAGCAATAAATGTAGCTCAAGCGCATTATGTTCGGACACGGTTTCACAGGTGTGTGTGGCACGTGGACCAGATCTAAGGAATGTGAGTTACCCGAATCGCGGTTTGGGTGATTCCGTATAGACACGGCCAAAGAAAGATCTAGAGGCTTGTAATGACTTTTTCATGAGGCATGAAAGCACCCCTGAAACCTGGAGACAATCATTGGTGTAATAATTGAATTACCAGTCCTTAGTACCTTATTTGTGGGGACCATTGATTTTTTAATAGCATTAGACCATTGTACCAACATTAGTTTGCAGTTTCAGTCCTTTTTAAACATGTGTTTGCATTTTTTTAAATACTGATAACCACTTAAAAATCAGAAAAATTATGGAGCGGGCGGGCGAAAAGAATAAAAAAATAAAAACAGGCCTAGGCATCCTATTATGGCCCAAAATGGTACCATCATGAAGTCAACACACCAGGCTGGTTCAAAATTTAAACAATGAATTTTGAAATTTTAATGATACCATTGCATTGAAAGATGGAACAACTAGGAAGAAAAGGACTGTTTTCAACTGTTTAGGGCAAAATATGAGCATTTGCAGTTGTTTCTGAATTTTTTTTTTTGCAAATCAGAAAAAAATGAAGCGGGTGAATCTGTTAACCAAGAAATTAAATTGGTGTGGCCTTACCTAACTCAAATTTTGACCTGTCCCAGTGATTTTTTCAACACTCTGTAGTCTGTACAGAATGTGATATCATGATATGTCTCATTCATGACCATGATTAAATCTTCTCAGAAATAAGATAAAAGCTGCATCCATATCTCATATAAATTTTAGTTTTCTATATAATGTGCTGACACTGCGCACAGGTGTACCATCAATCTAAAGGCATCCAATGCAATTTCAGGGTCAATATTTCAAAGTCAATATTCTTGGCATTCTTTCAATGTACCGGAAGTATTGAATCAATCGTATCCCATAGCATACTGATCTGTGTTTTGGGGCTATTTCAGAAGCTACAAGCATATAACGTCAAATGAAATGATGACAAAAATGTACTAAGAAGCAGCAGTACATGTCTTACCATACAGGTTTCCTCATCCAGAATATTTTTCTTTTGCCGCCTTGAAATTGTATCGGATGCCTTTAATGCCATTTTAACATACAGAATCATTTGCCAGAACCCTTAGATATGCCAAGCTCAGCATATATACATGTACCGCAGTGTTCTGACCAGGCCTTTTGAGCACAGGGGCCCCCTATGCTGTAATCTGGACCCCCTATGCTGTCTTCAACCAGCATAGCTAGGGGTGATTTTGGGTGGAGAACCTTCATAAATCTTGCATAAAATGAAAGTATAACTTTTGAATGAAGCCATGGCCTTAACTTCACAAAATCTGACCCTCAATAAACAAGAAATAGTGTCTCAGGGGGTTGTCAGTTTCAAATTTCTAATGCTCAATGCGCGACTTGCACCAGTCCACGAAATTTGTCCTTCTGTACCTGACCCCTATGCTGAAAAATCATAATGAGAACCCTGTACCTGTACCCAAATTTGACCATGTTCAGCTTTTTATCCACATGTATTGTCCAGGGTGAATTCTGTATATCCGACGTGATACACATACCTGACTATAACGTAGGCTAAGAAAATCAATCTGGGGTCATTGGATAATGGTCATCGATCCACTGCACCACACATGAATACCAATATCCATATAATGCTTGGTTCTGGGTAATGTAAATCACTTTATATTCGCGGTACATGTACTTTTATAATATTCAGGGTTTTCAGTCACTTCTGTACCATGAATCTATCATTACCACAAACAAATAGTTTGCTAACTTTCCTTCTTCTGCACCTGCCACCACCACAAACATATAGTTCCACAAACCTGTCCATTTTTCTCAGACCGCGAAATTTTGCTATCGTGAATATAAAGTAATTTACAGTATACAGTAGTGTATTTGGTTTTTAAACCAATCCGTCAACCTTTTCTACGTAGAGCGTAGACGGACCGCTCTAATTCAACATATAGAGGGTAATCGGTTCATTTTGCGTAAAGCACATTTGCCGTTTTAATTCTATGTAATGCGTTATACTTATAGCCACTTGGAATTTATCGTAAAGCGTAACCGAGAGGTTTCCGAATTCAGCGTAGAGCGTTGTCAGGACCCCCCCCCCCTGCAGGCCCCTATGATTTGCCTCTCAGAATGTGGGAAAGTGTGGTTTGATAGGAAATGCAATACATGTCTCATGTATTCAGCCCTAAACCCCCCTCGATTGTGAGCACTCTTTCCCCAGGTCCGATCATGAACCTGTGCTTGCTAGAACCCTGCATACCCTCACTATTCTACTTTGTGCCATTGTCTTCTGTTGAGCAAACATTCGGAGAAGAAAGCATGTTTACCGAAGACTGTTTGAGTAAAGGTATGCGCCCCTATTACTGCTAAAGTCCCAGCCTGGAATCTGAGAAGGCCAAACAGAATCACGGCCTGACCTCCTTCTTACAAAGCTTGTATCCACAACATGTGAACAGAGGATGAGTTTTCAAAAACCATGTTTGTCACTAAAATATGACCTTCACGCTTGAAAGACCACAAAGACCAATACCAGGCTTTCTTGTGTTACGACTCTCACAAAGGAATGCTGTCCTGAGTGTGATAGACTAGTTGTTACCTGATAGCAAAGGTAAGGAGAAAGGTATTGGGATCCAAAAGAAAAACACTGACCCAGCAAAGTGGCTGGATTCAAACTTAAAAACCCAAAAACATACATGTACCAGTCCTGTTTTGACATGAAAGATTTCCTCCTGGGTAGTTTTGAAAGCTATAGAGTGTTGAGACAGGTGGGTTGGGGAAAGTTTCATATGTACAGAGGCACTTGGTCCTCTTCTGTGAAAATGTAATTCACTATTTTATGGTACTTTATGTTCATGGTTTTCATGGTCACTTTTGCACCGCAAAATTACTAGTATCATTACTATGAACAAATAATTTGCTGACTTTCTTTTTGCTGCACCTGCCCCACCTCGAATGTATAGTTCCACGAACATGTCCATTTTTGAACATGTCCATTTTTCTCAAAATGCAAACTTTTGCTACCGCGAACAGAGAGTGAATTACAGTAGTTTCCTGCTATGTTTCTGGCTTATGGCTCAGTGTATATTCATACTGGCATACATCAATTGAAACTATGCAAGTACAACCAAAAGGAAGTGAACTACGTATACACAAAAGCTGCAAAATTTTAAAGGCAAGAATAAAAAAAAGTATTAAAACTACACCTTACTTCACACTCTGCAATTTTATAATAGCTTTGATTTATTCATTTCTATACACATTTTGAAACTGAGTGTTAATGAAAATTATCATTCTGTTCTCAGTGTTTTTGACAATGCAGTATTTGTCAGCCTGGTTATGTTATTGTTGCATGTTGTGGCATTTTGAAACAAATTCTTTCCCGATTGCCCCATGCTGAGTCTGATTGAAAACACACACCATGTATTTATTACATCCCACAACAAAAACTTAAATTTGCACATCGTAAATTCACACCCGTATGGGCTACATACAAAAGAAACAACACAGGTAACTATGTAATAAACAAAATCAACACCATTGTTGTAATAACTACACACCTGGGCCGTTCTCCCTTCTTTCGGCCCCGCTAGGGTGCCGGGCTGCGTGTCCGGTGTCCTGCCGGGCGTCCTCTGCTCCTCTCCCGCCGGGAACAGGAACCGTGAACCGGCTGGGGCACGGGTTACCGCTGCGGGGAACGGGGAAGTTTACCACGGGAGCCACACTAGTATCGGGCCGTTAGGCGGTTTCCCACGGTAGCCAAGAGCACTACGTCCGCCTATCTAAATTACCGCTACGGTAGAGTTGAGTTGACCGGGCGTAGTGCTCTTGGCTACCGAATGAAACCGCCTAACGGCCCGATACTAGTCTGGCTCTCTGGGTAGGGAAAGGTAGGACTGCTTAGACGCTAACGTCTAAGACGCTAACGTCTAAGTTAGAGTACGGAGATGATCAAGAAAATGATGAACAACATTAGCACTGGAAGTATATGCTTACAACAAGGGCATTATATATATAATATCCTTGTTTACAACGAAGATATTTTTAACCCGTTTGGTTCAACCTCGTTGCTCAAACCAAGGAGGTTCAAAGATCAGATAATCCTTGTTCAGCAATGACTTGAATCAAAACAAATTAGCACAAAAAGATATAACATACCAAAACCCTTTCGTGCTATCATTTCAGCCTGCTTCACCCCGAAATACAGTTAGAACTTAGAGGATAGCTATTGAGAGATACGGTACTGTTTGAAGGCTACAACATTCTAAAAAGTCCAAGGGATAATTCAATTTCTTGAGAAGACAGAAAAACTGTGACGAGGGTCAGTCAAGGGGCGAGGTGTCAAAGATCGACTCTAGTCAGCCCCTGGCATGACTGCCAAATCACGCAATCTGGGGAGTGAATTCTGTTGACAAATTGGTACTGCAGAAAGAACGCCATAGCTTCTCTTTGAACAAATTACTTGGACGTATAAAACAGGTCAAGAGATAATACAGAACCAGAGAACCGTTCAGTTTGCTACGCGACAGGCGATACGCTAAACACACACGTCATGCCCAGCAGGAGCCCTCCCGGTCCCGCTATGCCCCGCAGGATTTTTCGAAGAAAGATTCACGAAAATCTCGCGGTTTCCCGATGGATTTAATTCCTAGCTAAGGTTGGAATTACCTGACGGTACTCTGAACCAGCGGTCTACGAAGGCCAAGGACAGGAGGACGACTGAAACGACGACAGTGGCGCCCAAGAAGATCCGGGACGCTCGCATTGTCGCGAAGACCTGGCGACTGGCATGGCTGAGTACCCCTGACTGCATTACTCACGTGACCCGCTAGGGCCTCTTGGGGCGAGTTTACAAGGTCGGGCCGGGCACGTCCAAATTATACCCGCGCGGAGGAGGAAGATCAGAATGTACTAGCAACCTTGGTACAAGTATGGCAATTTTAAAAGCATCACTAGTAACTGCAAGCATACTTTTTCATCAATACGCAGTGCGAGTTTGTAAGATTTATTCAAATTCATATATAATTATGTTTACCGAAGGAAAACATATGGTTTTTGCTCTGTTTCCTCTTCTTCTCCAAACCAATAAGGTCAATGACGAGAACCAGACGTCTGTCACCATGGTAACTACATCAGGGTTACATCATGTTGCAGTTTTATAGCAGGGGCGATTTAGACTCCTGTCTGAATGTGTTTGAGCCAAAATGCGAAGGTAAATATTATGCATTTGTTTTGCAAATGTTTACCTTTCTAGTATTTCAAATAGTTTTCATCAGGTTGGTAAAGTATAGGATACAGGAGTTTTCTTTTACACAACCAAATTTTCTCACCTAAGTGCTGACGTTTCGATGTCTAATAGACACCTTCTTCGGAGCTTCTGACTGGAGTTCTACTTCTCTCCGCTGTATTTGTAGCCTTGAATCAGAAGCTCTGAGGAAGGTATGACAGACACCGAAACGTCAGCACTTAGGTGAGAAAATTTGTGTAAAAGAAAACTCCTGTATTTCATACATAATAGTTTCACACTCTTCTCTTGGATGGTGTTGAGTGACCTTGGCTGTTAACTACAGGTCTGAATTGATGCACATTTGAGATACTGAGAAGAATACAACGTTAACCCGTTTGCGATATTCTGTCTGGCCCACAAACGATTTCTGGCCATGGGCACAGGTTTACAGGTGATGGATAGATTTACAATGTATTATTCGAATTTCTCTCATGCACATGCAAGTAAAGATGTTCCGTTCATCCAGAGTACTATATGAAAATTATAAGTGGCATTCTATTCCCATCTCTATATTTTTAGAACTTAAGAGAACGTTTTCTTATCCTTTTCAATCTTTCCTCTCAGATTTTCCCAAGTGCAAACACACAGAAAAACGAAAAAGATATTGTTTTAGTGTTTTTGAGAAGAAAAATAATGTTGGATTTTCAATGAAGTCGGGCGTACCCTGTGTATCTCAGTCTAGAATCGTTCCATCCATATACATGTAGGTGCAGTAAGCACAAAGAGATCAGAAATATCGACGACCTTATATTGCAGGCTCAATATTTACATGGTACGGGGTATTTCACCATATTCTCAAAGCAGAGGTCTGGGATTTGGATTTTTTTGGCGTGTTTAACGTTTCTCCGCTTTTTTATCGGGCTTTTACTTTTTATACTCGTATCTTTTTTTTTTTGTGCCACTCCCCCTTCCCAAAAAGTTACCAGTACTAAAAAGAAATCCCGATGAAAAAGCTTAGGAACACGCCAAAAGCCAAAGCCCAAACCTCTGTTTGGAGAGTAATTTCAACAGTTTCTACGGCAGAAAGCGCACCGAGCGTCGGAAGACAAATGATAATAGTCGGAGATAAGGAGGTTAAAGACTTGACCCGAAAGAAGAGGGATTGTCTACCCACTGATTAATGTCATGGAGTCACGTACATGCCGTGTGTGAGAATTCCTGGTCTGTTCGCGTGACAGAGTTTGCGGTTTGTTACTACCTCCATTGAACGTATCTGGGTCAGTCTTATTCGATTATTGCACAGACAAAGGAAAGCTCCTTGCACAGAGCAAGGGGCTTCAAGAGACACAGAGCGTGTGTAATGTGTCTAGATATAATATGGGTTTTATTTTAAACATTTTACAGCCGAAGGCTGAATTACATGTCCCGTACGTGGTAAGAAAAACAACTTCTGACACTTCAAACCTTATATACTAAAGGTAGAGAGATCACAGAACTTTTCAAAACCACCTCTTTTCTTCTGAATTGAGTCGAAGATAATCCCCATTCTTTTGTTGCTTTAGGGCTTTATATTAATTGGAATGTCAAAATGCAATATTTAACTGTGTGGGTAGGTCAAATTAAGATTCGTAGACCAAAACTTGAAAGACTCTTTAGATATGGCCAATGTAATATTTAGGAAAGTTTATCTGTGTTATATAAAGAAAGTTAAGATTTATTTGGTGAAAGCATACATATGTAGCACCAAGTAGCACATAACTGTTCACTAATGACTGTTTTCCTCCACGCTCCAGTTTCGTTATGGGTTCGTCGCAACATCTGCCCTAAGTTGATTCAAATGAAAATTTATTGACAGACAGGATATTATGGCACTCAGTACGTCACAAGGTACTTTATATTCGCGGTAGCAAAATTTCGCGGTCTGAGAAAAATGGACATGTTTGCAGAACTATATGTTCACAGTGGCGGTAAGTGCAAAAGAAAGAAAGTCTGCGAATTATAATGACAATTTTGTGGTACAGAAGTGACCGCGAAAACCACGAATATAGAGATACCGCTAATATATACTGATTTACAGTTTATATACATGTACTAAGTACTGTCCCCTTAGCTTGTTACCTTCGCCAAGGTTATGTTTTCAGTAGCGTTTTTCTGTCCGTTTGTCTGTCTGTTTGTCTGTCTGTTTGTGAACAGCATAACTCAAGAAGCTTAGTATGCATTGTCATGAAACTTGGTAGGTGAGTAGGTCTTGATAAGACCTAGAAATGATTAGATTTTGGGCCCCCTGGCGGCTTTTGTTGGTACTGCAGCAGAACTTCTGGTTTTGATCTCTCGCGATCAGGACATGCTAGGGTCACGAATTTTGGTTGGTAGATAGCTCTTGGGATAGGGAAGAAGTGACATGAGTTTGGGCACCCTAGTTAGGATTGGACCTGCTTTTCACTGCTCCATCTCACAGGTTCCAACAGGTTCAACAGGGAGCTAGGTTCAACAGTTCAAATGCCATAAGGTAAGACTGTGTTTTACATCAACAACCTATGTTGTAATGCACAGACCGCCCTTCCACGAAAGAAAACCGGAACTGGCATCAAGCATTGCTGGGCGATTTCCTAGCGCGTTGACATACATGTACATGTACTGCAAAATCGGAACGTGGCGACTTATCAAGAGACTCCTAGCGACCCATTATTATGATTGCAGTGGTCCGGACGCAATTTATATGTCACATTTTGCACCAAAAATTGATGTTTTATTTGAAAAAATATTGGAGTGATTGTACTTTTCAACATATTTGTGCAATTATCTGACATTTATCGTTGACATTAAAACAGCCCACACAAGGCGCATTCACAAACTAATGCCATGTGTTTAAAAGCTTATAACTTAGCTCTCAGCCATGTTTATTTTAATTTTGGTCCAGAATTTATATTGAATGGCACATATATTTGCCACATACGGGTTGATTCAACTTACTTTGTGAAGAAAGGACCAGAGAATTTATTTTTTGTATCATCCAACAAAATTTACACAGACAGAGGACAGGCATGTTTTTGGTATTTGAATAGAGTTCAGCACCAAGGACGGGCCCGGGTGTGTTTTTAGTGTTTGAATAGAGTTCAGCACCAAGGAGAGGTGTGTTTTTGGTGTTTGAAAATAGTTCAGCACCAAGGACAGGTGTGTTTTTTAGTGTTTGAATAGAGTTCAGTACCAAGGACAGGTGTGTTTTTGGTGTTTGAAAAGAGTTCAGCACCAAGGACAGGCGTGTTTTTAGTATTTGAATAGAGTTCAGTACCAAGGACAGGTGTGTTTTTGGTGTTTGAATAGAGTTCAGCACCAAGGGAAGGTGTGTTTTTAGTGTTTGAATAGAGTTCAGTACCAAGGACAGGTGTGTTTTTGGTGTTTGAATGGAGTTCAGTACTAAGGACAGGTGTGTTTTTGGTGTTTGAATAGAGTTCAGTACCAAGGCCAGGTGTGTTTTTTGGTGTTTGAATAGCACCAAGGAAAGGTGTGTTTTTGGTGTTTGAATAGAGTTCAGCACCAAGGAAAGTTGTGTTTTTGGTGTTTGAATAGAGTTCAGTACCAAGGCCAGGTGTGTTTTTAGTGTTTGAATAGAGTTCAGTACCAAGGACAGGTGTGTTTTTGGTGTTTCAATAGAGTTCAGCACCAAGGGAAGGTGTGTTTTTAGTGTTTGAATAGAGTTCAGAACCAAGGACAGGTGTGTTTTTAGTGTTTGAATAGAGTTCAGTACCAAGGACAGGTGTGTTTTTGGTGTTTGAATGGAGTTCAGTACCAAGGACAGGTGTGTTTTTAGTGTTTGAATAGAGTTCAGCACCAAGGGAAGGTGTGTTTTTAGTGTTTGAATAGAGTTCAGTACCAAGGACAGGTGTGTTTTTGGTGTTTGAATAAAGTTCAGTATCAAGGACAGGTGTATTTTTGGTGTTTGAATAGAGTTCAGTACCAAGGACAGGTGTGTTTTTTGATGTTTGAATAGAGTTCAGAACCAAGGACAGGTGTGTTTTTGGTGTTTGAATAGAGTTCAGTACCAAGGACAGGTGTGTTTTTGGTGTTGTGAATAGAGTTCAGAACCAAGGACAGGTGTGTTTTTGGTGTTTGAATAGAGTTCAGTACCAAGGACAGGTGTGTTTTTTGATGTTTGAATAGAGTTTATAACCAAGGACAGGTGTGTTTTTGGTGTTTGAATAGAGTTCAGAACCAAGGACAGGTGTGTTTTTGATTGGTATATGTAGGTCAATAAAAATAAGATTCGTAAACTACAACTACGAAGACTCTTTACATGGCCAATATTTGTAGTAAGACAAGACAATCCATTTAAGCCTTCTCAAGTTATTGTGTCCACAGACGGACACACACACACACACACTCATACACGAACACACATGGCGAAGGTAAATTGTACTATTGTGTGATTTATCTGTGTAATTTCAAAGCCATAAGAAAGTAGCCATATTGAAAGGTGCACAAAACATCAGTGTTGTTGCTTTCACAGTTGGTTTGTTTGGGTTAGAGAACTGTACACCCTCAGTAACAACAGCAACATTAAAGGTCACCCTAAGCACATCAAAGTGTCATGAAAGTCAAGGCATGCATAGATATTGTTTGTACAGAGTCCTGTATGTACTATCAACTCATGGCCAACAATTATTATGTCAGGAGTAAGAAATGTTGCATTTCATGTTTGTAATGTACAATGTACAAATACTTAATTGATACCAATAAACCATCTATGTAGCTACTCTTCAGTACTGTATATATTCTATCATACATTGTTTAAAAATGTATAATACTACGTTTCATGTGAACTAACACTCCATATTTTTTTCATCATACACACAATACATCTATGATGTCCTGGCAACTAATAGATGAGGACACTGTCAAGTAATGCAAAAAGTCAGACTTTGGCACATAAACACACACATGCAGTACAAATGACATTAAAAAAGTCTGTGCATCACAATCAGTGATGCAAAACCTGATGCATGGCTGAGAGGACATGATCAGTCAATCAATCCACAGACCCGCAGCAGGTTTTGGTGTGATTCTTCCCAGTACTTGGACTCCAACAGCTTGTTCTTGAACTCTGCTGCCTTCTCAAATTCAAAGTCAGAGTACTTCAAGGTATCAACGATCTTCTCTGCCCATAACTTTGCGGTGACATCTTGGTCGGACTCCCTCACGCTTGTTTTCACGATCCTGTGCCTCATGTCTGGATGGCATTTCTTCTCCTCAATCAAGTCCCTGATCATATCTGCTAGACCTGACTTGTCAGAGATGAGTACGGGGATGCCTGCTGCGATGGCCTCCAGACCGATCAGTCCGAACGGCTCGGCACGGGACGGCATCAGGACCAGGTGGGCCTGCTGCATGTCCTGAGCGATGTCCTCCTGGCTTCCACACGGCAGTAGTGTGGGTTTGATCTTACCACTGTGCAGATTCTCCTCCAGGATTCTCTTGCTTGCTTCCCAGTCATTTTCATCTATCCCACGAACACGCAAACTGACATTTGTAATCTTCTCTGCAACCTGCCCCATGGACTGTGCTACCAGGTCATGGCCTTTCAGCTTGTCCACTTTGGTCACTCTCCCGACAGACAGCACGACTTTCTGTCCTCCTCCTGGTCTGACAGAGATGGCTTCAAACACTGGGGATGGTCTTGGAAGAAACAAGAAGTGTTCTCTTGGTTTGCTTTCTCCAAGAGACCTGTACTTTGTCTCGAAGTGATCGTAGATTCTTCCTCCCAATGAGAACACGGCATCTGCATTCTTGGCATCCTCGAGGATGTCTTCCATCTTCTTCCCTGCAGCCATCGCCTCCTTAGTTTCCTTGTAGTACTCTGTGTCTTCTGGCATGTCGTGGTTAAAAAGGACCAATTTTGCGTGTTGACAGCGGTTCTCTTGTATGCTCTTTGCAGCTCCACTTGTGACATCTGCATGGCCCACAATGCACTTCAGATCCTGTGGTATGTCTGGGTAACGACTGATGTGGTCAAAAGTCAACCATTCAGGACATGGTGGCCTCAGGTCCCTGGGATGGCGGGCAGGCAGATGCAGAATGATACCATCCTCTTTGGCACACTTCTTGTCTTCTTCAGATGCTTGCAGAGCCGTAGCATGAACTGTAGCACCATGCTGTTGCAGAAACTTTGCAACCTGATGGTTCGTGGTAGAAGGACCTCCATGAAATTTACCATACTCATGGCTAACCATCAGCACAGACTTGGCCACTGTAAAGGGAAAAGGTCAGTTGTAACTGACAACAAAGCTCTAAGTTGAATTATTAACTTATAGATACCATGATATAGAGAAATACATATTAATAGTGTGTTTCAAGAAAATATTACCTTGTTTGGACTGCATGGCAAAGGGAAAGCTATCAGAAACTAGGACAATCCTGCCTAGAACATTCTTGGGATCACATAAAGAGACTGTCGCTCAAAAGTACGGAACAGAGTGAAACAAAGCATAGGATCAGTTGAATACCGGTACCTCCTAACTACTGTAAAGAAAAGGAAACTGAAGTGGTATGGATGGCAACATGCCACAGTCATCGGGACTAGCCAAAACTATCATGCAAGGAACAGTACATGGGTGAGCAATGGAAATGATAGGAGGATAATATCAGAGAATGGACCAGCAGGACACCAATTAAGTGAAACATTAAGAGGATCAGAAAAGCGAGAGGGTTGGAGATACATGTAACTGGTGGTCAGATCATCTGTGGTCCCCTAACAATTGAATAGTTAGACTAAGGGATAGATGAGATGAGATACCAACTGCAGATAACTGTCATTGACAAGTTTTGTGTGAAAAGTTCTCGTCAACTCAAGTATCTTGCATGATCAGCAATTTAGCATTGCACATACATGTATTACTGTAACAGAATATTATATACGTAAATACTGATTATGGCTAAGCACTGTAGGTCTTAGGCTATTTTAAGCTTTTTAAAAATTTTTTGTTAATCCCTGTGTTTTCGAATCATTCATTTTTAATTAATATGTTGTCAAACAAATTCTACTGAACAAAAAGAAAAAAAAGAGAAGGCTGGAGACTGTACCAGGATGCTCAGCTCCATCTTGACTTGTTGACTTCTGGCCTCGTAGTTTTTCTACCTCGGCTTTCAACGTGTTGTTTTCCTCCATCAGCTGTGCCCACTTGTCCTCCTGCTGCCCGTCACCAGAAGACCCTCCGGCTGCCAGATGCTTGGCTGGTGGCCCACCTGATGTATCTGCTGGCCGCTTAACTGGTTTGACCTGTAAAAGCAAGCAATGGAACTTTTTATCAATACATGTAGGTAGAAATAGAAAAAATGGAATTGTAAACACCAAAGCCAACTTGGTGCAAATACCTTAACCCTGCCTGCCTCCTTTGCCAGACGGTCCATGCCAAAGTCACTCAGCTCCTGCTGAAGCTTGTCCATGGATGCTTCACTGTCTGTCTCCATCCACTTCAACAGTACCTTGTTGGCCTGGGAACTTGGTGTTTGGGTCTTTGAAGCCTGACAGGAGAAGGGTAAAGCAATAAATACATTGACGCAATTAATGAGTTTTGTAGAAAGTACATCTCAAAGTAGCAACATTCATACATTTGTGTATAGATACTCTCTGAGAACAGGCATGAACCATCTTTTATTTTCAAACAAAACCAAATGTTGACAGAACCAATTAATATTTACTTGGATAGTGCTCACCTCATCTGTGGAAAGCCCAAGTGCTCCGGCCAGATCTTCCACCTCGTGTGCTTTGGTCACATTTTTCGAGAAACGGGAGAAGAGCTTCCTCAGTTCTTTATCTATAATAGATGAAACATTGACAGTATTTGTAATTACTGCAATTTCATACATTCCAATTTTAGCCTTCATGAAAAAAGTTCAGCACATATCTCTGTGACTCTTTGAGTAGATATCTTTTTGATTTTAAGAAAAATGCATGATAAAGGTTATAAAAAGTTATATCATGTTGTACACACAGATATCTACACAATTGTCATTTATAAGTCACAGTTTCTTACCTGACCTTATCAATATTGGGCCACATCATATAACTGCTGGTTCTACAGCCAATGGATCTACAAATACTGCCAGTCACACATGGTATTTAAGGCATTTACATTGTGTCTTTCATATTGATTGATAAATTTATCCAATTCTTATCTTGCCTTTCCCCTCCATACATACCTTCCTTTTTCTTAAGCTCTCTTCTGAGGAAGTCCATGATGGCGGCTGTGTCTTTCTTACAGACATCAGGAGGGGGATATATCAGGGGGTTGACTCCAATGACCACGATCATAATTTGGGTCATTCGGCCCAGATTCAAGGGAAGGCGGGAAATTCTGTTACGTGACAAGTTGAGCTCCCTGATGTTGGACAGGCTCATGACTTGTTCAGGAACTGATTTGAATATGTTTCCAGCAATGTTAAGCTCCAACAGTTCTGACAGTTCCCCAACACCATCCGGTAATGACTCCAGGCCACTATTCTCCAGATCTAAGACTTGTAGGCTCTTCAGTCTGCCGATGTCTTCAGGAACAAGTGAAGGTTTACCCTGCCCAGCCCAGTTCCCCATGTATAGCGTGTTTAGACCCTCCAGCTGCAGCACCTGTCTGGGGAACTCATCAAACTGACAATCATTTATATGAAGCCTTAGCAGTTCTTTGAGCTGAGATATCTTGTCAGGAAGACACTTGAGGGGGTTGTCTCCCACGTCCAAGAACCTGAGTTGAAGAAGTGAACAGACTTCCTCTGGTATCTCTTTGAATACATTGTTCTGGATGTTGAGATGCTGAAGTTGTTTTAACCTGGAGAATCCATCAGGCAATGTTTCCAACTTGTTGTGTGACAAGTCAATGACCTGTAGGTTGGGTAGAGTGGTGATTGCCTGGGGCAGTTGTGTCAGAAGGTTGTTGTCAAGTTCAAGCCTCTGAAGCTTCTGTAGTTGCCCTATCTCCTCAGGTATGCTCTTCAGCCTGTTGTTAGACAGGACAAGATGTTCGACATCTCTGTTGTCAAACACGTCGGCTGGCACGGAGGTCAGTCCTCTACCACGGAGGTCAATAGTGAGCAAGCCATCAACAACTTTTGGTTGAAGAGCTAAAAAATTACAAAAGAGATTGTTTTGAAATGAGCATTTTTGTCAGAAAATGAATGCAGAAAAGATGTCTCACAACATGTAGCATATATACAAACTCTTTAAGCAAATATTTCACTAGAAGAAAAGAATAATTAGCTTATTTAGGAATATGAAGCAACATATTCTATACAACATATAATGCTAATCAATTAAAATTAATGGCCTAATATACATGTATTCAAGTATAATATTTCTGTACAATGCAAGTAATGTTATTCATAACATTCCATTTTTTAATGGCATTCCATTCTATGTCTGATATTTGGCCACTACTGAGAGAACCTGTTATAAGTTATATTATATGATATAAGAAAACTTGACAGGTCACAGAAATTAAGAGAAATCACAGGAGAACTCACAATGGTTGGTGACAAAAAGACACATTGACACTGAATAGAGAATGACAGGACAGGATAACCATTGCTGTTCAATGGAAAAATACATTTACTAAAAGAATTGCTAGTGACAAAAAGACTTATTGACACTGAGGCAAAAATATCTCCTATCAGAAACCATGTAGAATGGAAAAATACAGCTCACCAATGTTGAGATGCTTCTACATTGCTGATGTCTTACCCTGCAGGAAACAACAGGATGTTGATGTTTAGAACTTTATAAGTGATCTCTTAGACAAAATTTGTATAAGTTTGGACAAGATATACTGTGTATATTGTATACCACGTTGAACGCATTGTATAATAGACATGAGCCACATATTTTGCTAATAGATGTACACGTATTTTGGACTTACTTCAAACACCTGGAACACCTGCTGCACATCCTCTTGTACTGCAACTTCTTTTGCTGTCTTATTATAATTGTCCTGTATGTAAAGTCAACATATCCATCAAGCCATTAATACTAAAAATCATCATAATATATTGATTCTTGTCTTTTCTGGTTGCACAAAAAGGAGTTTGTAATAAGATGATATTTAATCTCTCTTGGTTTATCTCAGAATGATTGTTACTATATGTCAGCTAAGTCTAGAAACATTAGAAACAGTTTCAGGTTGTTCCTTCAAAACAGAAATTTATGCATGCAGGGCTCAAAATACCACCTGCATATGCAGGTCTGTACAGGTAAAATTGGAGCTGTGCAGGTATTTCTGATGTCTACCTGCACCTAACCTGCACTGGTCCATGTACTGGGTACATGCAGGTTAGTGTAGGTAAAATTGGAGCTGTGCAGGTATTTCTGATGTCTACCTGCACTGGTCCATGTACTGGGTATATGCAAGTTAGTGCAGGTAAAATTGGAGCTGTGCAGGTATTTCTGATGTCTACCTGCACTGATCCATGTACTGGGTATAATACAGGTTGGTGCAGGTAAAATTGGAGCTGTGCAGGCATTTCTGATGTCTACCTGCACCTAACCTGCACTGGTCCATGTACTGGGTATATGCAGGTTAGTGCAGGTAAAATTGGAGCTATGGTATTTCTTATGTCTACCTGCACCTAACCTTCACTGGTCCATGTACTGGGTATATGCAGGTTAGTGCAGGTAAAATTGGAGCTATGGTATTTCTTATGTCTACCTGCACCTAACCTGCACTGGTCCATGTACTGGGTATATGCAGGTTAGTGCAGGTAAAATTGGAGCTGTGCAGGTATTTCTGATGTCTACCTGCACCTGTCCAAGTACCTGTTTTATATGTTCTTGTAGGTGTATAGAATAAATAATGGCAATGGTTAACAAACTGACAATGACAATGTAGATCTAACGTCATTCAGCATGAAATCAGTGAGTTAAATACACAGTAGTGATGTCCCCTTTCTCAGTGCCAGCAATTGACATTTGACATGTGACAAAGTGCAAAAACATAGTATAATATACATACATCGTTCCTAATAATAGTGTTGGCTCCAGCCCTCAGCAGTACTCTGACACACTCGGGGTGTCCTCTCTTTGCTGCATGATGAAGGGGAGTCTCATTCTGTAGGTACAGCAAAGTGTGAGATGGTCAAATTTTAAAGTATCTACAGTCACTGAACATAACAGTCTTGCCATGTAACCAAATGACTACACAGGCCCCTTTAGTCCCCCCCCGAATGAAGGGCCAACAGGAAACCGAGAGGACTGCTGGCCCGGATAGAATACACCTGTCTGTCTCTAATCCACTTGTGATTTCAACCTATAATGTTCGCACTCTTCACCAACAAGGTAAGATACACCAGCTCTTCTCAGGCTGCCAGGATGTAGGCATTGACATTGCTGGGATCCAAGAACATCGTCTTATTACACCCAACCAGACTGATGAACTGTGGTCTGATGATAGAAGCTATGTCTTAATATACAGTTCAGCATCCGATAGAAGAGTAGGTGGAACTGGTATATTACTGTCCAAGCACATGTATAAGTGTCTTCAGAACGTTGTATTCATCTCACCTAGAATCTTGGCAGCAACTTTCTATGGCAATCCCCAGTTAACAGTTACGGTTATTTATGCGCCAACTGAGAGTGCAACAGCCGACGAGAAGAATAGTTTTTATCAGTCTCTCTCTAGTCATCTGGAACAAGTAAAACGTCACAATGTCCAACTAGTGCTTGGTGACTTTAATGCCCATATCGGATATGACAGTCATGTTGCAAGTCCCACTGTCGTAGGCGAGTTCTGTTTCTATCCCGAAACCAATGATAATGGGGAGAGATTGGTCGCCATGTGTGAGGAACTACAGTTTCGTCCTGCCCAAACGAGATTCCCACAGCCGCGGGGCCGTCTCTGGACTTGGACCCACCCCGCAGGTTCAGTTCACCAACTTGACCATATCCTGATAAATAGGAAATGGGTCAACTCCCTTAGGAACTGTCGTGCTTACAACACGGTTGAGCTGGATTCGGACCATAGAATTCTAAGCATCACCTTGTCGATAAGCTTGAGAACATCTCGGGGAAAACCTTATAAACGAAATAAATTCAACTGGGATGTACTGCGGAACACTGCTGCCCAGGACAGTTCG